TCTGCCACTGTCATATACTCTGCCTCTGTGGTAGAAAAAGTAACTGTCGACTGTAGAGTCACCTTCCAACTAATGGCACTACCTGAAAGAGTGAATATATAACATGTCAATGATCGTCTCTTATCCAAATCACCCACATAATCTGAATCAGAATAGCCAAGTATTCTGCAATCTGAGTCTGTGTTCCTGCCAAAATTCAAACCAAATCAGAATAGCCAAGTATTCTGCAATCTGAGTCTGTGTTCCTGCCAAAATTCAAACCAATATTAGCAGATCCTCTCAAATATCTAAGTATCCATTTCTGAGTCTGTGTTCCTGCCAAAATTCAAACCAATATTAGCAGATCCTCTCAAATATCTAAGTATCCATTTCACAGTCTGCTAATGGACCTTTCCAGGCTTATCCATGTACCGACTCATAATATTGACTGCATGTGAAATATCTGGACGGGTGCAAACCATCGCATACATAATGATTCCAACTACACTCGCATAAGAAACACAAGACATGTGCTGCTTCTCCTCTTCAGTCTGAGGTGACAAATCTGCTGAAAGACGAAAATGAACAGCAAGTGGAGTCTTCACAGGCTTAGCATCAAGCATGCTAAATCTCTCCAATAACTTCTTGATGTATTTCTTCTAAGATGGGAATAAACTTCCTTCTTGCATGTTCCTGTGGATCTCCATCCCCAACTTTGCTGCTCTCAAGTCCTTTATCTCAAACTCATGGTAAAGTTGATATTTTAACTCTTTGATTTCTGACATATTTTTAGCTGCAATCAACATGTCATCAACATACAAAAGCAAATATACAAAAGAACCATCACTGAGCTTTTTATGATAAACACAACTATCATATTTACTCCTAGAGTAACCATGCTCAAACATGAAAGTATCAAATCTTAAATGCCACTGCCTAGGGGACTGTTTCAACCCATAGAGATATTTCTTCAACTTGCACACATGGTCTTCTTTACCTTCAACAATAAAACCCTCTGGCTGATGCATAAAGATCTGCTCCTCAAGCTCGCCATGTAGAAAAGCTGTCTTCACATCAAGTTTCTCAAGCTCCAAATTAAAATGAGCAACCATGGCAAGCAACACGCGGATGGATGTGTGTTTTACAACTGGAGAGAATACTTTATTTAAGTCCACACATTCGGTCTGACTGTAGCCTTTAGCTACCAAGCGTGCCTTGCACCTTATAGAATCTATATCTGGAGTTCCTTCTTTCTTCTTGAAGATCCATTTATAGCTAACAATCTTATGTCCCTTGGTAGGTTTACTAACTCCTATGTCTGGTTCTTGTGAAGAGACTCCATCTCTTTAGTCATCGTAACAGTCCAATTTGCAGCCTCATTGCCACTAATAGCCTCTTTATAGGTAGAAGGCTCTAGAACCTCAATCGATTCTGCTATACTCAAAGCATAACCAAGCAAGTATGCATAGCGTTGAGGAGGTCGGATCTGCCTTTTTGTTCTCTCAGTGGCAATATTATATTATTGCTCTTGTGGTGTATCAGCATCTGAAGTTGAACCTTTTGTAGTATCAACTGGTTCAACATGATCGTCCTCAATCACTCTCTTTGAAGTTGAGCTCTCTAGCTCCACCTGCTTGCTAAACTCCTTTTCAGTACCTGTAGTTTCAATAACAAACTCCTTTCTTGGGTGAAGCATGGATTTTTCATCAAAAGTAACATCCCTACTAATAATAAACTTAGGTGACTTGGGATCAAAACACCACAATCTATATCCCTTCACCCCAATAGCATATCCTAAAAAGATAGCTTTCTTTGCTCTAGGTTCAAGCTTACCATCATTAACATGAAAATAAGCAGAACAACCAAATACTCTTAAATGAGAATAATTAGCATGGGCACCAGACCATACCTCTTCTAGAGTTTTAAAATCAATTGTTATAGAAGGAGATCTGTTTATTAAATAGCAAGTTGTATTGACTGCCTCAGTCCAAAAGTCTTTTGACAAACAGACATTAGAGAGCATGCACCGAGCTCTCTCTAAAAGTGTTCTGTTCATCCTTTCTGCAACTCCATTTTGCTATGGTGTATGGCGAACTATACGATGACGCACAATACCTTCATTCTTGTAGAATTGGTCAAACTCTGTGGAACAAAACTCTATCCTATTGTCGGTTCTGAGGCATTTCACTTTCTTTCATGTTTGCTTCTCAATCATAACCTTCCATTGCTTGAATGTTACAAACACATCACTCTTATGCTTCAAAGAATACACCCAAATTTTTCTGGAATAATCATCAATCAATGTTAGCAGAAAACGAGCTCCACCTTTCAATGGAACCTGAGAGGGACCCCAAACATCTGAATGAATATAATCTAAAGTACCGGTACTAAAATATACTCTATGGTGTTTGCCGAAAATACAATGCTCACAAAAGTCTAATTTGCTGGTTTTCTGACCACAAAGTAGATCTTGTTTGCTTAGTACATCCAGTCCTCTTTCACTCATATGCTCTAACCGTATATGTCACAAATATGTAGTGTCTGAATCTAAATCCTCTGAGAATGACATTGCTGCAACACCTGTCACTGTACTGCCTTCAAGAATATAGAGGGTATTTACCTTATTTCCTTTCATTACAACAAGAGAGTCTTTACTTACTCTCAAAACTCCACCTTCAGCCGAAAACTTAAAACCATTTGAGTCAAGGGTGCCTAAAAAATGAGGTTCTTCTTTAACTCTGGAATATGACGGACATTGCTCAATGTTCTAACAATCCTATCATGGGTTCTAATCTTAATTGATCCGATACCAACAGTATTGCAAGGCATGTTATTTCCTAACAAGACATTCCCACCATCGATAGACTGATATGTGATAAACCAATTCCTATGCGAACACATATGGTAGGAACAACCTGAATCAAGAACCCACTCATCTTGTGAATGAGTATTAACACTAACTGAAAGAACTTCATGTGAACTAGAAGACTCTTCAGTTATAGTGGTAACTGAAGGTTTTACATCCCCAGACTTCGACTGTGAATTATCATTTGCTTTAAGTGTTGGACAATTAAGTTTTATATGCCCATATTTGTGACAGTAATAATATTCAACATTTTTCCTTGGTCTGGACTTTGATCTAGACATGTTTCTAGATTTACCTCTACCACCAATACCCTTTTCAAGGCGACCACGAGCCAACAAGCCTTCAACTTGATCTTCTCCTCCTACGATAGATACTTTCTACCTTAACTCTTTTGAATGTAAGGCTGATTTGACATCCTCCAAAGAAAGTGTATCTCTACTGTATAACATGCTATTTACAAAATTCTCATAAGAAGGAGGTAATGAACATAATAAGATCAGGGCTTAATCTTCTTCGTCGATTTTAACATCAATATTCTTTATATCCATAAGAATAGTGTTAAGTTCATCTAAGTGATCTTTAATTCGTATACATTCCTTCATGCAAGGGGTGAAGAGGCGTTGCTTTAAGTAAAGCTTGTTCATTAGAGATTTCGTCATGTACAAGCTCTCCAACTTGAGCCACAAGCTGACTGTGGTATCTTCATCGGCAACCTCCCGCGGGACCTCATCGGCCAAACAGAGCTGTATGATACTATGTGCCTTCATCTCTGGCTCTTCTTTCTCATCATCGGGTATAGATTCCGGTAACTTATCCTTTCCGGACAAGACTTTGAACAGTCCTTGTTGTACTAGGAGAGGCCTCATTTTTACTCTTCACAAACTGAAGCTGTTTTTTCCATCGAATTTCTCTACTTTGTATTTTGCAAAAGACATCTTGAAGTCCACTAGAACAGTAACTGTAATTATGAACAGTAACTGAACAGTAACCGTACGTATGAATAGTACCCCGTATATATGAATAGTAACATTACTTTTGAATGGTGCCGTACGCGTGAATAGTACTCATCACCTTTAAAGAGTAAATGATAATCTAACTTATTTTCTAATGTGGAGGATCCACTTTAGTGGCAGCCACAGAGCATACGATAAGCAAATAAACGTACTCTAAGTCAGGCTCTGATACAGTTTGTTGCAGCGGAGGGGCTTCACAGACACAGAAGATGTCTATACAAGAGTGGACAAAGAGAATAACACATAAGGATTTAACGTGGTTCAGTCAGTATGACCTACGTCCACGGATGAGAACAACAGAGAACTTCACTAATCACCAAAAGAGAATATTACAAAAGAGGAGACCTCTCTAATCAGAGACTCTCACAAAGAAAGAGCCAATACCTTTCTGTCTCACTCTCTTCTCTCTCTATTTTCTATATCTAAACTCCTGCTTTGATGTCTCGATGCTGTAATCCCTCTTCCCTCACCCCCTTATATAGCCATAAGAAAATAATAAAATAATACAAAGGAATAGGTGAGTGAAGAAATTTGAGTTGCAATGTTTGAAAAAAACAAATTGTCGAAAGTGAAAGTGAGAAGGCAGCTACTTTTGGACTTATTCAAGTCACGTTTACAAAGACCTTATTTAAATACTTCCTAAATACATGTCTATGTTATCTTATTATATATGTATGCATGTATGATGTGTGAGTTATACACTTGGCTCATTTAAGTTCAAAAAGTGAGTGAAGTTTCAGGTATTGCATGATGTTCTCCATGAGCTAAGGCAGCTTATACATCTTGGCTGAGTTTGAGCCGAGTCTGGTCCTTCTCAAAAAGACCGGTTACTGCCTAAATGTAACTACCTAAATTACCATGAACAGCAAAAGAAATGAAAGGATTGGGTATAAATGGGGACTAATCCAAGTCCATTTCGATATTTAAACTCAACCCCAAGCCCCCAGCATGTTTGTGCTGGTCTCTTCGATCCAAGGAAAAGCCTAACTATTTATCTGATCAGGTAAAGATTTAGGTTAGATGATAAAGACCAACTAGGTAATTACTGGGAACATTTTCCCTTTAATTTTGAACTAACTCCAAGGAGGTTTGAATTAATTACCATTATGCAGGATCAATATGTCCACAATACAAGATCGAAATTGACTATCTGCAAACTTTGGATGCTTCTTGGCCAATAATTGAAAAACTTACTTACATATCAATAGTCTTACAAGTATTGCACAAGAAAACAATGAATGATCAAGATTCTTATATGACAACGAAATCAGTTGGAGCAGCCAATATTAATTTTCTGAACTATTCTGAACTGGTACTGACATCATATAAACAAAATGATTTTTGATCTTGTAACTTTAGTGACAAGGGATATCAAATGGCTTCAGGTAATATCAAATGGCTTCAGGTAATCCATTTGACTTCAGGTATATCATGAAGCAGAAAAACAAAGACCGACTATCGATCTTTACATCTTCTAAGCCTTGGCCTTCTTGCTGCTAACCTTCTCATTCTTCTCAATGTCTGCTTTCCTCATTTTCTTGATGGAATCAAAAAGAGAAGATTTATCCTGGTTGTTTGATGACTTTGCAAATGGATTTGTAGGTCGAATACATTGTTTCTCGTTGCTTCCAATATCAGAAACCCCTTCAGTTGTAACTTTTTGAAATTTATGATTGACTTGTTCTTTTGAATTTTCACTAGCAGCATTGCGATGTTTGCTATCCTTTTTTGCATTGATTTCTGCTTTCTCTTGGTTACTTGGTGCCTTCGCAAATGGATCCGCTGCCGTTTGAGCTCCCACTTTTGAAACTCCCCCTTTCATGTTCTTGCAGGGTTCAATCACTCCGGATATAGTACTCTGTTCCAATTTTCCATGCTTGGAAAAGTGAGAATGAGACGAAGATGCCAAGGGTAATGTTGTTGACGGCTCTGCAGTTCTTTTGATTTCAGATGCAGGTGAAGATTTTAGGAGTTGCGTGTTTGTGATATTAGCCTCTCTACATTCATTTGACAATCTCTCCTGCAAAAGAATAAAAATATGGAGAACATCCAGACATTCAAGCTTATTTTCATCACCAAATGCACATTCAAACCGCCCTTGAATAATGATGTAATAATGATTTACCTCCAGTATTCCATTGAATCTCTCTGCAAGTAGGGGAAGCTTCAACGTTGTAGCAAGCTTTATTGCACCCATCAGTGATTTCTTCAAAGTTAGCAGCCTTGCTAGTTCAATCGCCCTCACAAGCTTATCAGCTGGGAGTAGTCATCGATGCAAGCAGAGACAACTGTTAGCTGAGTTGTTGCAACTCTAATGCAACAATTTCTTGTAGTGAAACCCTTACCATTGCAACAACTGGCAATAAGCCTCAAGATGCATCGGTCTATAGAAGCTTCCATGTTGAAGGTCTCGTCCTCAAGTATAGTTGTGTCCAGCCCAGAGGCTGCCACCTCTTCAATTTTCTTCTGAGCCTAACATTTGAAACACCAAAAAGAGTCAGAAAGAATATCCAAAGGGTTAATTGAATATTGACCCCTGTACCATTGCCCAATTGTGGATAATACCCCCTATAGTTAAATATTTCACTCAGGGGCTATATCCACAATTTTCTCTTTCTGTGTGCAATAATAGAACTACGGGGGTCTATCCGCAATTTAATCTTTCTGTGTGCAATAATAGAACTACGGAGGTCTATCCGCAGTTGAGCGATAATACAGGGTATCTATCCGCAGTTGACCCTATCCAAAACCTCTCAACAATGGGTTACAGAATGTTCTACCTGTGAGAGTTGCAGGTTCCTGATTATGAACTCATTTTCAAGTTCATCAGCACCAAGATCAGAAGAGGCAAGAGGAAC